AGGAGCAGAGTACACAGAGAGAAGCACTAGACAGTGCTCAGTGGAAACAAGACACTAACAGACAGTGAAAGTCTGGGTCTCCAGAAAAAGTGTGACCTGGACTGGGACCTGGCAGGGCAGTAAAGTAAGGGCATTTACAAACAGACAACCCTGAAGTGAGATTCCACAGCAGCACATCACCACAGTAACTTCAGGAAAACACAGAATGGTCTGGGTAGAAACATCTCATGAGTGAAAAAGGTCAGGATCCAAGAAACTGTGCAAGGAAGAAAGGGCACAAATGGCAGTGTAGATGTGCATGAAAAACTTCCAGATCAACATGGCAGTGTAGACACACAGGGAAAATGTCCAGATCAACCATCAGGAAATGAGAATGGATGGAGAGAAAACAAACCACCTTATAAGATAGGGTGTGGACAGTTTGGTGTGGTGTTGCACGCCTCTAAATACAGCACTGGGGATGGTGAGGCAGGAGGATTGCAGTAGGTTCAAGGCTACCCTGAGCTATTCATTGAACTCAAGGCCAGCCTAAGCTACATAGCAATGCCTTCTCAAAGACCAAAAAGTTAAAAGGGGTTCTGGAACACTAGTGATAATATTGGTGATATTTCTGAATTATTTTAACACCAAATGCTGCCAAAGCAATGAAGATACAAAATCCTTCCAAGGTCCTCAGAACCACAGCAACCTCCGTGTGAACCCTGTTCAATGGACTGGCACCCCAGGCCAGGGAAGCAGACTTCTAGGGCTCACTAAGGGAGCCAACTTGAGAAAACTGGTTGGAATTGGTACAGTTCTACCTCCCTCAACAGCAGGTAAGTACAAGAGTGGAGATGTGAAACAGCTCTTTGGCACTGCTGATACTTAAGTAAGCAGCCTAAGACCATGTATACACTACAGATACTTAGCTAACCAGCCTACGGCTGCCTTTGCACCAATGATACTTAAGTAAGCAGCCTAGGACTGGGTATGCACTGCTGATACTTAAGTAACCAGCCTAAGACTGCCTAGATCTGGGCATGGTATTCACCCTGTCACTCTGCACCTGGGAGCCTGAGGCAGGATCACAGTTAGGTCAGCCTCAGCTACAGACATCTTGCCTCAAAAATCAAGGGCTGAAGATGGGGCTCAATGGAAGAGTTAGCAAGGCTAAGCACAGAATTCCAACCATACAAACCCCAACTCATCATGAAATCCCAGGTAACAGAATGGAGAAGGGAGACAGATATTTCAACATACACTGCTTAAAACAGATGATGACCAAAACCTCAGCATGTGTACACATAACAAGCACACACACACACACACACACACACACACACGGAAGAACAATATGAACAGCCAAAGAAAACAAATATCTTGCTAGTTTGCTATGATAAACAAATATTACACTACACATTAGCTTGTCCATGGATATTCTCTCTCTTTCTCCTTCCCCCCCCCCCCCCCCCCCCCCCCCCCCCAGACCAAGGAAACCCTTGTGATTAATATTGCAGATATGTCAAAGTGAATGTTAAAAGCATTCCATGTAAGGCTGATGAGTGTCACAAATAACAGTGTCTTGTCTCCTGTCTTCTGTGACTATGAAGAAATACCCTGATATGCACCATGTGCACACATACACGCAAATAAAGAAAACAGCATTAGTGGGTAAGCAAAGGCCATGGCAACCCGTGTTGTTGGAGCCTCTCACGCCTCCCTAGCCAGTACCTCAGAGGGTATCTTGTGCCTTGCAGGGTGATTTTCATTTTGGAGCACAATTGTCCATCCATGCAGGGTAATTCCAAACTTTTCCAGTTATATTTTAAAGTTAGCCGAGTAGTCTGCACAAGGCTTTTTTCTTACATCGTTGGTTTTGGTTAACACATCCACTCCTCCTCTCTCCCGTCTCCTGTCCACTCCCACTTGAATCTCCCATCCTCCAGTAACCGTCCTCCTCCTCTTCCCTCTTACATCTACTCTCTTATCTCCCAATTATAGTGTATAACTGGCCTACAGATTCCTACAGCCTGCCACTGGGTTAGTTTCCCTCACTTCACGTTCGTCCATATCCGTGTGCCCCTCCCTGCTTAGGCAGATCTGCCATAATCTGAGAACACACAGAAACATCCCTCACCAATACATCAACTAGACCCTGAACACCAGTCATAGAGTAACAAAAGCAAAAAGAAAAGTCTTGGTTTTATCATGTTTTGTACAATTGCAACAATCTCTTAATGTAGGCATGTAACAGCACTCACTTATGTTCATAGTTCACCTGGGAATTAAGGAAATGAATTATACTCCTTAGAACAAGTAAAACATTTACTCAAAGACTAAAAAAAATTAGTTATATAAAATAGTGAGTGTCAAAGACAATGCTAATTTGTTTAGGGTGTCCATACAGTAAAGTGTGTTTGTAATGACTAAACGGGGGACCCTTACAAAGGAGCCAGAGATAAGGCCTTCGACTCAGCAGAGTAGCCCCAGTTTCACGGAAGGTGGGGACAAGTGCTTCACTTGAGCCCTGGGTTTCAAGGCCAGCCTGGCAGCCCAGAGAGAGAACTCATCATGTGAGCTGCTGGATTACACACTCTAAGTGCTGTTAGCGCCTGAGGCTGGAGAGATGAGGCCCCGAACAGTGTTCATCTCTGAGTGTTCCGTGTCCTCACTTCTATACATGCACTGCCAGTCAAGCCCCTCAGCCCTTTATCCACACTCATCCTCACAGCGTGTCTCTCCTCTAAGAGACTGCCTAGTCACGCCGTGTGCTTCCTTCTGCAGTTGGCAGACCTACGGGGCGACGCTTCTGACCATCCCCATCCCCGTCATTTCATATTCTTTTCTGAGTACCTCATGTGCACCGTGAGTACTTATACATCACAAGTATAAGGGTTCGGACTTGGCATGTTAGACAACTGCTGTCGAGTAAAGATTAGAATGGAGTACACCCAAACTAATGATCAAACAAGATATCACGATCCTTAGCCCTGACAATAAACACAGCATGTATGCCAGTAACCACAAGTGGCCAGCCATCTGGTAGACAAGAAGTCTTCAAGCCGTTTTCCACATTCAGCTGGATGGAGCGAGTTGGCCAAGTGTTATGGTTACATGCTTTCAGGGTTGGCTGAGATACGGCCAGCTAGACTAGAGAGTACTGGTCTGGCTAAACCTGCTCACAGACTTGCACAGTACATAGTATACTAGCAAGCCTGTGTAAGTGGTTTAACATCCCTAGGAAGCTGGCTCTGGAGGTGAAGTTGCCATCAACTCCTGCTTCAGAGCCAAGTACGTTTATCTCAGAGCGTCTTCAAGACTCCTTGTCCAGGGACAGGCTGCTCCTGTGCTCCCTGGCCCCATGAGAAAGGGGAAGCAGCAGACCCCAAGTGAGTGAAGATGCTGTGATAGCAGCAAGAACAAGTGAGACGCTGTTCAGAGCCTGGTCCTGAACACGGAGCGAAGTCATTCCAGGGACCTTCCTAATGCAAGAGACTCACTAGGCTACTGCTTATCCCACAATGTAAAGATGCCTGTGGTGGGAACAACCAATGACAAGTCCTACCCAGGAGAAGACATCTGCCTGGGCCCCTCCTCATGAGTCAGCTGTTCCAGCCAACCATCTGGGTGTCCAGGGCCTCTCCAGGGCTTTCTGCTGGATGGGGTAGGAGTTTGGTCTGATGCTCTTCTGCCTTTCTGCTGCTTTCTATTGATCCTTTCATTCCCACTTGCTGACTATTTAAACTCACTCATTTGAAAGAGAGACCACGGTGACCATGGATCACTATCCATATAAAACACACAACAACAGGAAAGAATAGCCCAATTTGGGAAGTTTCAAATTTGCTTCATGAAACATGAAGATGCCAACATTGAATCTGTTATTATTTGATATGTCTGGTAGGCACTGGGCCAGAGTTAAGTTCCCCAGCACACATGTGATGCCAGGCAGGTGAAGCAGGCTGCCTGTAACTCTAGGACTCTGGAAGGATCTCTGGGGCAAGCTGCCTATTCAGACTAGATGTATAGATGAGCTCTGGGTTCAAGTGAGTAATTCAGTAAGTAATTCAGTAAGATGGACAGCAGTCTAGGGAAACTTTGATGTTAATCCTGTAACTCCACAAGAATGTGAACACGTGTGCACATGGACTCACACACATGTATACAACACACACATACACACAAGAAAACAATGAAGAGCTCTTATGTCACAGTAAGATTATCAATATGCTATGCTTTAGATTATTTGTAGAAATATTCAATAAAGTATCAACAAATACATTGGAGGACATTAAACAATGAAAGAACTAGTAGCTTCCATTTTTTTCTGTTTTTACCAACAATGTATTTTATTAATGACAAACTTGAACTAATCATCAAACTATATTACAGAAAGGAATTTGTAAAAATACATTCATGTCCTGATAATAAATAAATTCAGCTTTGTACAATTAGAAAAACCAGGACAGTGACAAATGACAGAGTAAAGAGAAAATGGCTCCTGGGTTCAAATCCAATGACTAACCTAAAGAACAAAGTTAAAGGAACGTCCACATTGCCCTCCCTAGATGGACATGTACTCCATCCCTCTCAGTATTTCACTGGGCAGTACACTAATGCCAGTCTCGTTCACTGGGCACTGCACCAACGGTAATCCATGGTCATCACTAAGAAATTCTCATGAGATGGGAAAAGTATGGCGGCCAGTACACTTGGCAAGGAAGCCAGCACAGCTGCATCCTGTACTTCTAAAACTCCAAACAGAAGCGAAAGCCTTCTTACAGATACTAATACGGTTTCAAGAATGTTTCAGAAACATACAAACATTTTCCCAACTTCATAAACACCCAAGAACTGAAAGTCACCATCTAGAGACAAAAAGCAAGACATCCATCCATCAGCACTGTGTAGAATGACGCTCAAGGGAGCAGGCCTCAAGTTCTCATGTCGAGGACAGACTATCTCTCCTCTGGGGAAAACAATCTACTGCCTGAAAAAGTTTCTTCAGGAAAAAGAATAGATAAAACTCAATAAATTATATTTCATTCATCAAAATAAACAGCAATTTTAAGGTTTGGCACTATATGAAACATCTCTCAGAACAAGAATGGGTTCACAGATAGGCTGCTTCCGGCCTGCTCCACTGTTTGCTGAAGCAGGGAAACAGCTCACTTAACTTTATAACTAGCCATCAGTCCACAGACGTACTTACAACAGCTGACATTCAGAGACAGTCACTGTAGTCACAGTCAAATGAGCCATGTATAAAGGCCTGTTGTCTTTCTGTCCATCAGCTGGTATTTCGTCCTAGTTGCTGGGACTTAATCACATACAGTCAACCACATTTGTGGACCCATGGCCTACGTCTCGGATCTGGCTAGTTAAACAGTCACACACGGCCACACCGGCACCAGCTCGGCAGTGAGACACAGGTCCGACCAGCTCCCACCTGGAAAGATAGGACAAGACTGTCACCAAAGAGCACAGGTGTCCCAACCAAAGTCAAGTCTCAGGACTATGGGGCTAGTTTTAAAAGTCATCAAGTTCCTAGAGGGAGAAAAGACATCCTCAAATATTATATTAATAACATAATATTTTTCCATTATCTTGGTTTGTTTTTCACAGGTTCAGTTATCTACAGTGAGCCAGTCTGAAAATATTAAATGAGAATTTCCAGAAATGTCTTAAGTTTTAGATGCTATGCTGTTCTGTCTCGACTAGGATAGCCTCTGATTGGTGTGTCGCTTAGAGTTAGACCAACTGCCATAGTATTGGGTCCTTTTGCTCAAATAACCTTTGTTTTACTAACAATGGTGCTAACGGAAAGAGCAGCGATGGTGGCAATTTTATTTCTGCATGCTGTTTAACTGTTCTCGTTTATTAGTTAGTTACTAACCTTTATGGTGCCTACTTCATGCACTGAACTTTATCTTTTTTTTTTCAGATTTTTTTTTTTTTTATATATGTGACAAATACACTGTAGCTGTCTTCAGACACACCAGAAGAGGGCATCAGATCCCATTACAGATGGTTGTGAGCCAACATGTGGTTGCTGGGAATTGAACTCAGGACCTCTGGAAGAGCAGTCAGTGCTCTTAACCACTGAGCAGTCTCTCCAGCCCTATCTTTTTTTTAATTAATTAATTTTTACAACCTGACTGCAGTTCCCTTCCCTGTGCCCCTCCCAGTCCTTCCCACAGCCCCACCTTTCACTCCTCCTCCCTTTCTCTTCAGAAAAGGGCAGGCTTCCCATGGATATTAGTCAGACATGGCACAGCAAGCTGCAGTAGGACTGGATACCTCCTCTCCTGTTAAGGCTAATGAGGATGACAGAGTCCCAATGGCAGGCAACTCAGGCATGTATAAACAGGCAAAGTCCAGCTATAGATGTAAAGTTTGCTTCTATCTATGGTCTCAGCTATCTACTGAGAGAGAGAGTAAAGGATAATAAAGAACTCGGCCTTACTACTGTGAGGTGAAGCCTTCCACTAACGAGAAGCAGTATACTTACTTATTCAGTACGGGATCAAATGCCTCCACTGTGTTCAAGTATGCATTGCCATTGTGGCCGCCAACTGCAAAGATTTTGCCCATCACTGTTGCAATCCCCACGCCGCCCCTGGGAGTGGTAAGTGCTGCTACATAATCCCACTTGTTGCTTCGAGGGTCGTACCGTTCCACCGAACTCAGAGGGGAATTATCGTCAAAACCACCTATAAAAGCAATATTTAAACATGGCGTCCCAGATGCTACATAGTGGTGACTCATGCCTTTGATCCCAGCACTTGGGAGGCAGAGGCAGGCAGATTTCTGAGTTCGAGGCCAGCCCGGTCTACAGAGTGAGTTCCAGGACAGCCTGGGCTATAAAGAGAAACCCTGTCTCAGAAAACCAAAAAATAAAAAATAAATAAATAAATAAACATGGCATCATATTTCATAAACATTGACAACTAACTCTCGACTCAACATCTTATAAAACTAAAGCTTTCATCAGGCTGACAGTACACACGTTTAATCCCAGCACTTGGGAGGCAGAGATAGGACCTGTGGATCTTCGTCAGTTTGAAGCTAGCTTGCCTGTGAGTTTCAGGACAGGACTACATAAAAGAATACCCCGTCTCAAACAAAACAAGACAAACAAAACCAAACCCTCAAGTTTTTAAAGTTATTTTAGAATGATTTAGAGAAAAAAATTACCTTAACACCTCACTACCACCAAGTACAATTTTCTATAATTTATCTCTATTTTAATCAGTATTGCACTTTAAAAGTAGGCTTAAGAATCTTTTTTCTCTTGGTTTTTGAAAAGGGGTTTCAAAGTGTATCCCTGCCTTAGCTTCCTCAGTGCTGGGATTATGGGTATACACCACCATGTCTGGCCTTAAAGTCTTGAAGTAAAAGAGAAGGTGGATTTATGGGGAGAGAACAGCCATTTCATACTCTGTCCTGAGATTCCGAGACGCAGGACCCGCTTCCCTCTCTGTGCTAAGTAGCAGGGAGGCTGACAACGAAACTTCAGCAAACTGTGAGGCTCAGCCTAACAGAGGCGCAGGCTTTCCAGGGTTCTTATGGTTTTGGTTGTGAGCCTAGCCCTTAATGGCTGAGCCATCGCTCCTGCCCCAGGGCTCGTCTTAAAACTGTTATTGCCAGCACAATTACTGACAGTTTCTAAGTGAACAAGCAGTGTCTTTGGTGACTCCACCCATTTTCCTGAGATGAAGAGATGTTGCTACTGTGAGCTTTTCTTTAAAAATAAGGTCAGTTAAAAAAAAAAAAAACAAGCAAAAATCTTCTAATGGGGTTAATTTTATTATGGCAATTGAAACAAAATAAAATTCAGTAATTTTGGCAAATGCTTATCACAGTCTCATCAGGTGCCATTCTCTCCCTCACACTGTAAATCTGTCCCTGCTCATGCTACATGGAAGATTGGGTTTTGGCAGTCACATTCTCTACAGCACTCATTTTTATTGGTTGTGTTTTCTCTCCCTATAAAATAAGAAAGAATTTAGTGCTGGGGACACAGCTCAACAGTAAAGTACTTGCCTACCACACGAGAAGCCTTAGTTTAGGGTAAGTCCTCAACAATGAAAAACGAATCAAGGCAGAAAAAAAGCAGGTGGCTGTCATCCTGCTTTAAGGAGGATTTGAAAGTTGGAGGTTGTTGGTTGTTTGCTGTACCTTTCAGCGCTCGAGATTGAAGCCAGGGCCTCCTGCACACCAGGCAGAAGCTTTGCTCCTGAGCTGTCCCCAGCTCCTGAGAGGGTTGTTTTAATGCTCAATCTGAGTTGACCTTTTTATCACATCTGTTTCAGCTACAAAGGCCCAAAGGCTTGGTAAATGGCTGCAATGCTGGCACCCCTGGGGCCCACAGTGTTACACACGTGACACAGTGTGACCTGCCTGTGGTTTGGAGGTGTGAAAGGCTGCAGCCATAGACTATAAGAACTTTGGTTCCCACATACTTCCCTAGCGTGTCCTGGGACATGACTCTCTACAACCAACTCCTGTGCCACGAGTGAGGCTGGGGAAGCCGTGTTCTTTTCTTTTCCAGATGAGAGCACAGGAGGAGTCAGTGTTGCTACTACTTCCAATATCTAAACAATAATACCAATAACATACTCTCCTACCAAGAACTGTAAGTAATAAAACCCCAACAATGCACTTCAAAGATAACACGTGCAATGACCTCTCCCAGCAGTTCCTTCTCTGTGAGGAAAGACAATTACCACAGATCGGCGCCTGTGTTGGACATCCACCGTCTCTAACTCCTGAGACAATCCGGAGAGCTGCGCATTCCCGTCCCAGGCTCACAATCGTGTAAGGCCCCACCAGAGGGTGCAGCACACTCCTGGAGGCTGCGCAGTGCTGCACCACGCAGGGGCTGCCATGATATGCAGCCTGGCTGCCTCCAGCCCAGCACCGTGGCCGTCTAGGCTACTCCTTCGTATGTTAAGGATCTGACAGCACAGCTCTAAAAGTTCTCTAACTTTACTCGGTCAAAAAACTATAGAAAGACTAACATATACACATCATATGGAAAAGTCACTGGTTTTCTTGAAGTAGTCAATAAAATTTGCTTTGAAATAAAATGAAAGAAAAAACAAGTCATTAGACCTTTCAAGATTTGTTTTAGCAAATGATATTTATGTTTCTACATTTACAAATATGCATCTCGTTTAAATGCAAGTTTACTTACTTTAGATACAATCTAAGCTTTGCTTTTTGGATTTATTTTTTGAGACAGGGTATCACTATGTAGCCCAGGCTGTCCTGGATCTACTATATAGAGCAGGATGACCTCAGACTCACAGAGACCCACCTGTTTCTGCCTCCTGTGTGCTCGGATTATAGGCATGTGCCACCACACCTGGCAGAAGTTTTAAATATGATTATTTAAATCAAGCATTAATGTCAACTTTAAGAATTCAAAAGCACATCTCAGGATTGATCCTGCTAAAGGTTAAATGTGATACTGGGTTGTCACTGTGCTGCTTTCTGGCATCTGGCATCATGGGCCCTGACATATTAAGTTAGAGAGAGCATGTACTCACCAACAACATACAAACAACCGTGAAGCTCACTGACCCCGTTGCCGGCTCTTCGCTGACCCATCTCCTTCACTTCTATCCACTTATCCAGGTGCGGGTGATACCTTTCCACACTGGATAAGGAGGCTACTCCATCGTTGCCACCCACTGCGTAAACATGGTTCTACATGAAGAAAACAAAACATGCGACAGATTTCAGATGGGTTTGTCCATGGTCCTAATAGGTGAGCAGAGTGTAGGAAAACCAGTATTTCATGAACAATTTGGAGTACGGTCAATGCTGCGGCTGCTGACGTGAACCACTGTGTTGCTCATGGCTGTGTCTGGTGCCTCTCCATGGGAAGGGGCCGTGTAACTTACGATTAAAGCCACAGAGCCGACGCCTCCACGGGGAGTGTTCATTGGCGCCACTGTACTCCACTGGTCAGACTCGATGTCGTATCTTTCCACGTCACTGAAGCACGTATTGTCATCTAACCCTCCAATTGCATATATTGGGCCCCCTAAGGAGGCCAAGGCAATTCCTCGCCTACAGAAACAATTAAACATACTTTAGTATCTGAGTCTGTTTCAGGAAAAAGAAGACATTTTTTATCAATGCAAGGCACTTCTGAGGATAACCATCAAAGGATGTGCCGTGCACCCAGAGTTTGACAAGTGTTAATGTTTCTGAGCTGGTGTTTGGGTCGCTCCCTTGACGGTACAGGCCTACACTGGCTACTGGAAACTTGGGTCAGCTCTTTTTATCTCCTCTTTTATTTTTTTGTGAGGGTTGAGCCCAGGGTCTTGCATCTACCAGGCATGAACTCTACTCAGGAGCTTTAAATTCAGAATGAAAAAGAATGCAAAACCCAACAAAACAGAATAAAGAAATCCTAAGTGTTCAATTAGTAAGTAGGCAGTTATATAGTTGAGAAATTAACAGGCTAATAAGAAAACAGTTTGCTATGGTTTTAAGAAGCCAACTTCAGTTCTGAACGCATGAGTTCATTCACTCAGGGTTTCATTAAAACAAAAAGAGCACTCATTTCTATCACAAGCTCTGTGTACACTGCTATATTTCTGGAGGACATCGATTTTTTCTTCTTTGAAAGGAAGCCTTAGCCCCTACTGAAGTTAATTCATTGTTATATGGGCAACAGAAAGGGACAGATTATATCCATCAAAAGGTGAGCTATTCTAAAGCGGCTACAGTAGCCTTAGTCCTCCGAGGTGAGTCTTCACTTACAGCTGCTTCAGAACCCACCTCCCATTTCCCTGGTAACAATGGGAAAGGAAGCCTCAGCCTCGTGTCTCCTTAAGCTTCTGTTGACTAGCGAGCATGGATAGTCCTGGTCCAGTGGCCACACCACGTTCATCTGTTCTCACGGTGCCTCCCTTCCTGTTGTCTCCCGCTAGTCCTTTGTTAACGCAGCCTAGGCCAGCATTCCTGTGTTTACATCCTTTAACTCTTGTGCAGCCCTGCCTATGCTTCATTTTCAGATTGTAAACATGTAACTCTGTATAGACAGCTTGCATTAACTGCAAAGCATGTGCCTAAGGAAAAGTCTAAAGCTGACCGAGCAGGCATAACACACGGCGTAAACAGTGCAGCTGTAGTCATGTGCACAGCACAGCATGAAGAGCGGTATGACTGTAGCCTCCCTTGAGCTCTCCTCACTCCTCTGACTGTAACGACTGTACTGAAAACTCTATTCCTTTCCTTTGAGAGCCATGTCTCTGTACTGTCACACACCAACTAATTTATTCTACACAAAACCCGCAAACCTGATCTCCCACCCCACAGCCTGGCATAACTGATGCTTCAGGCTTTCACATGTGAACTTGCTTGACATCTTTTCAAGGGTTTTGTGGACAAAATAGTTGGGTCTGCTTGTTTTTGTTGTTGCTGCTGCTACTGGCTGTCACTTTGAGGTGCTGGAGATTCCGCTCAGGCCCTCTGGCATTTTAGGCACCTACTGTATACAGAGCTGTACCTCCAAACCTCCTGCTTTCTGAGTCCTGATTTGGTGACATGATTTTAGTTGCTCTTTCATCTCAGGATGTTGCAAGTTACTATTCAAATCACTAATAAAAATTTACTGAATCATGAAATCAACAGTCTTCTCTTTACTCAAGCTAAAACAATCAAAATATAGTTCAATTTGTTATAGATAAAAATCAATATATTAACACTAATCTTAAAATCAGTAAAGAAATAGAAATTGAGAGAGCTATTTTCTTAACAAGATAATAATAAGCCTTAGTCATAATTAGTATAATAGTTAAGAGAAATACAACATGCGTTTCCACTAAAGTCAGGAATATTGTCAGACCTGTTACAATTTCTCTTCATACAGTATCAAATTATACAGCCAATAAAGGAGGTATATAAAACCTAAGTATGTGTGAGGAGAGGCTGGAGATGGCTCAGTGGTCTTGCTGCTATTGCAGAGGATTGAGGTTTAATTCCTGGTAACACACTCATAGACACCAGTAAGTCTCGCTCCATAGGATCTGATGCCCTCTCTGGCCTCAGTAGGCACTTGCATGCATACACACAAAACCACCATCCAACCGACCATCTAATCGACCATCCATCCATCCACCCATCCATCCATCCACCCATCCAATCTGTAAAGAGAAACTGCAGAAGTTGGCAGTACCATCTGTACTGAGGCTGTCTGTATCTCTGACAGGACTGTAACCCTGAGCTGTTAACACACAAGGAGCTTGGGGGGAGGGCACATGGCAAGGTGTACTCTCTACTTTGGTATGGCACCAGTCCAAGCCAGGTAATTCTTTGCTGTAGAGGGCTGCTCTGTAGCTGTGGAGGATTTCTGTCACATCCCTGACCTTTTCCTATGAGACACTAGCAGCGACTCTCCAGCAGAGGTGGCAATACACTTTTCTTCTGGGGATCCCTGATATCTGTCACTCTATGATGTTTGGATAGTAAGTGTGAGACCTGCCACGGTGACATGAGATCCTGTCTCAACACAACAGAGCAAACTACCAAGGGCTGGTGAGGCAGCTGGAGAGGTACAGGCACTCACCACTGACCCTGACAACCTGAGTCTGAGCGGGGTGGAAGGAGAGACTGACTACTGCAAGTTGTTCCTGACCTCTCTTCTCACCACATACAAAATGAATGAAAAAGGAATTTAAATAAATAAACAAAGTGAACAGAGTGCTATCAGATTTGCAACTTTTTTGAAAAAAAAAATCTAAAGTTATTTCAAACAAAGAGTTTCAAAAAGAGCAGCAAGGTGGCTTTTTATGGAATGTGGTGACCAAGACTTGGTCAGAGCCAAACGCTGAGCCACTGAGACCACTTTTAAAATGTGCGCACGTGTATGTGCAGGTGCTGGAAGAATCCACAGAGGGTGTTGGATCAGCTGGAGCTGGGTTACAGGGGATGTAGCTGCCCAGTGTGGGAGTGGGAACAGAACCGGAACCCTCTGGAGGAACAGCACACATCCTAACCCCAGAGCTCCCTCTCTGTGCCCGTACGATGCCATTCTTAAACATAAAAAATCATAACAGAGCATTGATCTGGATGCTTTCACAAAATGGGCTTGAGGAGAGTTAAGTTTCTAGAAGCTGGAAACCCTTCAACATAAGATTTTTCAGTTTCTGTCTTCTTTACTCGACACTGTCAGTTCAGAGGATTTGCTGCTGACCAACCTCTTGGTGTTCATCGATGCCTTCATCATCCATTTATTAGTGAGAGGGTCAAACATCTCCATGCTACCTAGGTGTTCATTTCCATCATGTCCGCCCACTGCGTACACTTTCCCTGCAAACAAAGACATCTTTTATCTGATTCCTAAGAGTGATATTCATGTTATTTACATGTAAACAATTTATAACTAGAATGTCATAATAAATTAACTTTTAACATTGTTTTTGTTCAATACTGAATTCATGTCAACGTAGTAAGTGAAACTCAGTGGAAGCTTCCACCAAACAAGCCTGTACATAAAGCTATTTAAGTGCTTTCAAATGCTGACTTCTTGGGTCTTACTTTTTATTAAATAGTAAATGAAATCATTAATTCTGCTTTCAAAATAGGTCAATAAAATGGAAAAAAGGATAATAGCAAATTATAAAGAAACTGAAACTGTTGACACAAAATGATCAGCCTTTTTCTGAATAAAACAGAAATACAGAAAGTGAGGAACACTGTATTCTCTCATCAAAGTATATCCTCAGCATTTCCTTATACTGTCTAGTTACGGAAATGAGATTTTAAATCATTACTAAAAATTATTTCAGAACCATAGAAGAAAGTGCTAGAAAGATTTTAAGAGTCACTTTTTCCTTGTTTTATAAGAGGAAAGATTTTTTTTTTTTTTTTAGAAATATGGAGGCAGGGGAGACAGCAAAGCAGTTAAAGGTGCTTGGTGCTCTTTCAAAGGACCCAACAGCAGTCACGTGGAGGTTCGCAACTGTCTGGAACTTCAGTTCCAATAGATCTGCTGCCCTCTGCTGCCCTCAGCTTGAACCAAGTACACACATGGTGCACATGCAGGCAAATAGTCATACACATTAAAAAAAAAAATCTCTTAAAATATATAAAAAAAATAATTTAGGAGCTGGCAGAGTTCTTGCCTCTCACACAGGAAGCTAGAGTCAACTCTCAGTACTGCATAAACTGGATATGGTGCATGCCTATAGTCCTAGCTCTTGAGAGGCAGAAGCAGGAGGATCAGGAGTTCAAGGTCAGCCTCTGGTACACAGGGGCTATAAACTGTCTCTAGAAAAAAATATTAATAAAAACCAAAACTGATTTAGAATTAAAATATTTACTATAATTGATCCCAGGATATTTCATACATAAATGAAATCTGCCTGTGAGACCCACTTCTAGCCCTCGGTGATTTGAAACAGGGTCTTGTCATGTAGCTCAGGCTGGCCTGGAACTAAAATCCTCAGTCTTCAAGTGCTGGGATTATAAGTATGTGCCACCATGCCCGCCACAAGAATTTCACTTTCCCTTGGCATTCATTTTTTAATTTATATACCAACATGCTAAGTTATCTAGCCTCTGTTATAGAAAGAAAATGTCAAAGTGCATGCTATTAAGGAAAACATCAGTTTTATGATATGACATTTGGCGGCAGCAGACCCACCTTCCACAGAGATTACACCCACATGTCGTCTGCGGCTGTTCATTTCTGGTCCGAAGAACCAGCTGTTTTTGTTGATAGAATAGCATTCAATACTACGAAAGGGGTCACCAGACCCACCTCGACCACCCACACAAAACAGCACACCTAGAGGTAAAGTCAGAAGATCAAGATCAGTATCACAGCTTTTAAAACTGTATTCTTAATTAGTGTGAAAACTGATTATCAAATTGTGAGTAATGTGTTTTTAAAAAGAGGTTGAGTTATGAAATCTAATCTAATTCCCTTTCTGCCCCGTTGAACTTTTCAAAGAACCCGAGTCAACAGCTGCCTATCCTTTTAAATCTCACTCACTGCAAGTGTCCCGGCTTAAGTCATAACACAATCAATAAACCTTTTTTTTTTTAATTTTTATTTAGGAGAAACAACAAGCATATTTGTATAGAAGACCTCTGTCTCCACCACAGCCAAGCTGTCTACACCAACCAACCTCTTAATTGCTTCCCTACTGAATACAAGCCCAGCATTGGATACATGGTTCACTTGTTGGGAAAACCCTTTACTTTGGCATCTGGAACATCCAGGTCTCTTTGCTCTCATGATCCACCCATCCTCCCCTCTTTAGCTCTGGGAGCTAAACCACCTGTGTCACAGTATTGTGATGGCTATTCCTGGTTGTCAGCTTGACTACCTCTGGAATGAATCTGGAATCTTGAGGCTGGAAGACACAGGCTTCTGACCCGATCTTGGCCACCTTTTTCACCCCACACTTGGTGGTCACAGCAAAGCACCTGCAGTACTCCGCAGAATTTGTCTGTCTTTTCCCTTAGACAATACCATGTCCACAGGCTGTGTGGCTGCATTTCTAACACCTATTCCAGAGCCTGCAGCACAGTCAGCATCTAATGTGTGCTGAGCGACCACGGAACAGATGTCTCCCTGTACTCCCCTTCCCATTAATTCAAAACCTCAAGTCAGAGAAGATAAAAGTTAGGAGTCCTAAAAGATCACACAGTCAAGTTTATACTAAACAAAGGTCAATCTTATTACTGGCAGTGGTACAATCGGAATCCCAGAATGTACCTGTATTCTTTGAAGATATTTTCTCTAAGTGAATGCTACACAAGTCACCTTCAAACAAGCTATGAAAGAAAAAAAAAAAAACAAAAAGGGAGGCAAAAATATCAGCATGCAAATCTTTTTCTCTATTGTTTCTGTTTGGTTTAGACAACTTTAGCCTAACTCTTAGTCTTTTCTTCCCTAAAATGGAGAAAAAACATCTATGTGATAAATGGCTGGCTCTTTTATTAAAACCTACTCTATGGGCTGGAGAGATGGCTCAGTGGTTTAGAGCACTCATTGCTCTTCCAGAGGTCCTAAGTTCAATTTCCAACAACCACACAGTGGCTCACAACCATCTGTAATGAGATCCTCTCTTCTGGGGTATCTGAAGACAGCCACAATGTACTCACACATAAAATACATCTTTTAAAAAAAAGAAGCAGGAAAAAACCTACTCTATAAGTTCTTATGACTGTGTGAGACCAGGTACATGAATGTCTAGCATGTCGAAGCACGAATCTAGGCTGCTGAGATGTGGAATTTAAATATGGGTTTGAAGAACACTTGCCTGGTATACACAAAGTGCTGGGTTCCATCCTCAACCACAAACAAACAAGCAGAAAAAATAGTGAACTTAAAGAATTTAATTAAGCCGGGTGGTGGTGCCGCACGCCTTTAATCCCAGCACTTGGGAGGCAGAGGCAGGTGGATTTCTGAGTTCGAGGCCAGCCTTGTCTACAGAGTGAGTTCCAGGACAGCCAGGGCTACACAGAGAAACCCTGTCTCAAAAAACCAAAAAAAAAAAAAAGAATTTAATTAAACATTTCAAATTCATGAGACAGGATTCACAAAAACAGAATTCTGTAACAGAAAAAATTAAAAAAAAACAACAAGGTTGGCCTGGAAGTGGCCATGTAGACTAGGCTAGCATCAAACTCACAAGATAAAACCCACCTGCCTCTGCCTAAAAACAAATGTTGGGATTAAAGGCATAGCTGAAAGTGCTGCATGGCTGTGATTAAAACCTGTAATTCTATTTACTAACATAAAAAGGATTAAGTGATAGTCTTTCTCGTGGCGAACTGTTTAGAAGAACATCCTCAGAAGCAGACGTACTTGCTCATACTCAAGCAAGCCTTCTGTGGCTGTCAGCTGCCCAGCACAGTGCTCCTTGGTAACAATGTAGAGGAAACCTCTATACTGGATTCCTCTTGCTCATCTTCCCTTGTTCCCCATATACAGAAATAAAAGCTATGCAGGCACGGTACATACTTGAATCCCAGCACTTGGGAGGGGGAGACAGAAAGATCATGGGTTCAAGGTCACCCTGCGTTACACGGGGATTTCCAGGACACTTGTTACATGGGGACTTCAAGGTTAGCCTGAGTTACATGAGAACCCATCTAAAGAGAACACGCACATGGCTATACTCAAGTGTATACACACACACACACACACACACACACACACACGCTTGAACATGAACTATTTTTTTGGAGAAATACAAGTCCAAAATAGTATTGCTCAATGAGAAGCTACAATCTCCTTAAATGTAAGAGTCTTCAATTCTAAGAGCTTAACAGCCCTTCATACAAATGTTAGGTATGGTTTATGGTTTTCTTTTGATTTAGTAAAACACAATGACAAATATTGAAAGAGGTAATGTGTATCAAGCTGAATGCTTGGCACTATAAATACAAGCTTTAAAGATCTACAGTCATTTCTGAGGAACATGTCAAGCTCAAGACATGTCAATACACAGATTGTAAAGCAACATACTAACAAATTCCAATACAGTACTCGAAAGGCACCAACAACACCAATTCTGCCTAAAGAATCAGGGAGAGCTCGAAAGAAAGCTATTGCTTCAGATTTTGTAGGACTTGTATTCCTTTTTTAAAAATTGGCTTACTGAAGTCAGGTACATGGCACATGACTATCATCGAGCATTCAGGAGGCAGAGGTTGGACCATAAGTTTGAGGACATCCTGGGCTACAGTGAGATTCTTATAAAACCAAACATCAAAACTACCCCAAAATTGGTATTATTAATACTAAATGATGCACATTAGGAATCATGAATACACACATACACCTACTGACCAGTTATTACCTTAAGATAATCAGACACTAATTGTCTGACTATTACATTTGGGCATATATAACCAACAGCCCTCAGATATGCCAAATAGCCTTTCTGGGGAGTTGATAAAGTGACTACATTACCAGCAGTATGCTTCCTTGGGGTAGTCCGAACTGTATATTCAAAGTCAGGAACTGGTTTACTGCTCAAATGAAGGTGATAATTTCTTGCTTCATCCAACAGATCTCTGCATTTAAGATTCTGCTTGACAATCTGTTCTTTCGCCACGACACCCATAAGAAAATCAACCGGCAATAATGGCAGACGGACCTAAGATCATGAACAGTTGTAACACAAAAATAGTAAGAAATAGTAAGAGAATAGATACTCCCTGACTCTTGTATCTCAGGACTATGGCTATGCCTTCCTGGGAGGTCCTTTGTCCTTCACATGCAAAGCCCCTGGTTCAAGGCCTAGCCTCATAAAAACATTACCAAACAAAAAAAAGTGCTACACGTGAAATAAATTAGAAGTTGAAAATTGTTACTCTCTTGCTTTAAAAATCCAATTACAATCTCACACTTGAGCAAAAATATAAGTAACTTGTTCTTAATATGTGAAGATCTTAATAACACTATTAAATTATTTTATTAAATTTGGGCATAACTGAGCATAGTGACTCATGTCTGTAAGCCCAGAATCTGAAAGGCTAATATGTAAGGCTCGAAAACTTGGGGCCAGCCTGAGTTATGGAGTATCAGGCTAGTCTGGGATAGACCCTGTGTGCAAATAACAACAAACTGGGTTAAGTATCCCATGTTTTTAGTTGTTTTACTTTGTTTTGAGACAGATTTTTATTTTGGTCTCAACTTGCTATGTAGCTAAGGATGCTTTCCAACTCTGACCAACCTTTATCCCTAAGTGTTGCAATTGCAGGCACGTGTCACCATGCCTGGCTAACGCTATGCTGCCGATCTGTCCCTGGGCTTTATGTGTGGCAGACAAGCATTCTAGCCACTCAAGTACACCCTACCCATCCAATGCTCTGACCAATCAGAAAACGTTTTCATTTCAGAAAGTGAGTAAACGGAGCTCCTGCTCTCTGAGGAGCATCACTTCTCAGTACCTAAAAAAGAGGAAGAGGAAGGAGGGAAGACAGGAGGAAACAGGAAGGAAGGGGAACACAGGGTGCAGACCCCAGAAGGCCTGTTTCCTAGTTCCTTATCCAAGGTACCCACTCTGACAACAGTTAACAGACAATCATAACAAACACATTTCTGAGGTTAAAAATAAATGTTAACATGCAAGGTTATACCATGTGGTTCTTTCCAGAGGAGGTCTACAGTCATTAGGAATAACTATACTGTCATTAGAAAAGTGATTTATTAAAACTTGGAAACTCTATTATGCAATAAGTTATAAATGGCTGTTTTCCTAGAGCCATTTTCAACTAACAGAAACACTATCTACCTCATATGAATATTTTAAATATTTAAGCTTTTTACGTAATGATCAGATGTATCATTAGTGTAGAAATTGCCCAGGCCGTGAAGACTTAACTCCCAAGTTTTACACCCCTTCAGACAAGTGACATCACCACGCAGCAATGGCACACACACAATCCTACCTGAGTCCTACCTGTGCAAGTGTCTCGTCCAGCCATTTAGGATGATGCTGCGGATTGGCGAGAAGCCACTTGATGGCGGCACTGTAGACCTGCTTTTCGCTGTCAATGTTGAGGTCGCTGGAGGAGAGGAGCTTGTGGAGGTGCTGCGGGGACACGCTCACAAAGTCTTCACACTCCACCACCTCAGTAAAGTGCTCACAGGCATACTGGTCCGCCATGTCCATCAGGTCTATCCGGTTGTGGCTCTCTGCAAAGGCTCGAACTGCCAGGCAGTTAGAGGGATGAAAATGCAACTTCATGTACTCACAACAAGCTCTGGCCACCAGTTCAACCTGCAGAATACATGCTGCATACAGCAGAGGCTGGACATTGTCCACTGTCAAAGTGAGCCGTGAAGAGTAGACAAACTTCACCAAGTCCTCCACGGCATCACCGTCGAAGTCTCGGATCTCAATTAGCGCCTGCTTGGCTTCAGACATTTCGGAAAGAAACATGGCTCTGAAGTAGGGGATCACACAAGCCAAGACCAGTTTGTGACAAGAGATCAGCTTTGAGCCAACCTGTCCAAATCAACACACACACTGAGTTGGTTGCATATCAGAGAACACGTGCTACAGACAATGCTCTAGACAATGAACTCACGTGAATGCTGAAATCCTTTGGCTACTTAGTTTTCAATCTAGACCAGTTTCTCAAAGTCAGATAATTTTCATCTCCTAAATTAGCCACACTGAACTATAATTTTCTATATTACCTCATATTTGAAGATCGTGTCATGAAATAGTAAACATTTTAAAGCAGGCTAAAAATAACATCTTAACAACTGTCTGAAGGCTGGGACTGTTGCTTAATGGTAGTGGGTTTGCCTTGCATGTGTGGGGCTCAAAGTCCAATTCCAAAGCCCCCTGCACCCCCACCCCAAAAAAAGAAAAGATGGCAAAACTATTACATACTAGAACCACACAGAAGAGTCACGCAACTTCCAGAGAATCACTATTTTAATACTAACTTCCCACCCAGGGAATAAAAATCAATAGCCAGAGTGGTGATGTGAATGCGAATGGCCCCCGTATCTAACATATTTGAATATTTTGTTCCCATTTCGGTTTGTTGGGAAGGATTAGGAGGTGTGACCTAGTTGGAGGAGGCTTGGCACTCCAGGCAGACTCTGAGGTCTCAAAGCCCATGCTACTCATTCCCAGCTAGCTCTCTCTTCATGTGTGCTCCCAGCTACTGCTCCAGCAGTACTGCCTGCCTGTCTGTCTGCCACAATTGTCATGGACTCAGCCTCTGATACTGTAAGCCCTAATAAACTCTTTCATAAGTTGCTTGGTTATAGTATCTCTTCAGAGCAATAGAACAGTAACTAAGAAGGACAGCTAATTATTTTCATGTAGATTATAATAAAACACTGTCTTTCTAACTCTATTTCAATTTCTTGATTAAAAATAAAAAACAACTTAAAATGTAGCCAAGCCTTCCCAACCCAAAATGTCCTCTTTTGGAGTAACTATCCATTCTAAGGTCTAAAGATCTTTGGGCCACTATATATGGCCTTTTACTATACCAACTCTTCTTTGAAGTTACATATTACAACATATTCTGTAAAGTTTATTTCTGCATTTTCCGTTTTGGTACATAACTATCAGTTACCAAAGAAAGTCAGAAATTAGAAATATATAAACTTGGTACTTCAAACTGAATAAAAAACATATAAACTACAAAATAACTGTATGATTTAGTCATAGAAATAAGTATGATGAAATATATATGTATGATACATACAACACATCTATGTGTCCTCAATACTAGTAAAATTTCTTGTTTACATTTTTGTTAGATTAATGAACAAACATATGAATAATTCAGGATCATAAGAAAAAATTCATGTCAATATTAGTAAAATACTGTCACTGTCAAAATTATTTCTTTCTTAAAAAAAAATTGAAATAGTTAAAATTGGCCACTATGGATCAAAACACAACAAAACAAAGGCTTCTGGACAGAGCTTTTCTGTCACCATGGCAACATGGGGAGAGGACTGAGGGCACAGCTCTCACCTCTACTGCTGACTCAGCATCAGACCTATGAGCTGACAACTCTAACAAAGGAGGTGAAGTACTCAACTGTTGAAAGGAAACAGTCATAATCTCATTTACTGTCAGTTCTTAGAAGATAGCTTTCTACTGACCTACAAAAACAGTTGTTACCAAGTCTGATATACCCAGCAAACACGGTGAAAGTGTTTACTCCCAATTTGACTACCAACTTGCTAATATGTGTGCTTCAAAAATGTTTATGCAAGTTAAAAAGAGAAGTTGTTTTAAGTATGTAATTATTTTTCATGTTTCTGAAACCTTTGCAATCTCTCTACAGTATGGTTACAGTAGCTGTAC